ACGATTGGCGTATGGTGAATATCTGATCCATGATATGCGAGCTCACACCATAAAATTCCTTTAGCTTGACAGTTGAGAGTAGGCTTTAATCTATCACATAATCCATTTAATATAATTTGACATTTATAGGAAACTTCTTCAATGATTAGCAATACAGACTATGGGTTAATCTTCTTCTGGATCTAGAAAGTCTACGTAGGTTCCAAGTCATAGTAATGCTCTTATCTGAGTATAAATTTTGCTACGAAGTTGACGTTAACTACATTTCAATAGCTCAGCCGGTATCTCATCGGCTCCCTCCGCTTTGTTGTTCTTCAGACAGCAACTTTAATCTTCTTCGAACTTCAACATACTCGTATGATGAAACGTCAATTTCACTTTTACTACAATTCGGGAGACTGGAAAAGTGCTCTCTTCAAAAACGCTATATACATTTGAGTATTACCTGAGCATACTGTGATACTTAAAATCAGTTTTAAACCAGCAAATCTTCTCATAATTTTTTGGGCACTGTCGGCGCTTTCTTTAACTCTCGGTATCTCTACCAAGAAACTGCAAACTTCGTCGCAAAAATTAGGTTATTCGTATATGAATTATTAAAATCCAAATATAAATCCCGGCGCCTTGAAATATATATTTCTCGGAACAGCAATTAGACAGTGAGCCAAACACAAAGTCGGACGTAAATAAATGTATATGTATTAGTAAGCTATTTTATGCATTTCATGTACTATTAGCCATTCGCTCTCAACTTGCAGTCATTATTTGACAAAACACATAATCATATACCAGCAAATGCCAACACTAAATCATTATTTTACGAGTTTTTAATTCGATTACAAAAATAATGCCGACATTCGGTGTTCCCTAATGGTCGACGAAGTACCCTAAAGTGGGTATAAAAGTTGATGAGGAATTTTTGCTTAAATTTTATGAGCGTCAAAGTGAAAGTAAAAGTATTAAAGGAGAACAAAATTTTAATAGGCGTTTATGAAAGACAAACTATTTAAGGATGCTGGAATTTGTATGTACCCGTATGCATGTATGTATGCTGTTCTTTTTAACCTAGAGTGATAATTTGAACTGGTATGAAAAATTCTAACCTGGAACTTTTAAATACCAAGCAAGAAATCAAAAATATTTGTTTAGGACTACCAAAATATAAGGTGCAGTAAAAATAAATCCATTGTTTTTGCATGAAATTGAAAGCTTTAATTTTTACTTTTCGTGTCCAGCCTTTTTCAAATGGTGTCAAATGGTTTTTTTGTGCAATCTCTAGCTCTTGGGCAATCGAAGCTGTGATTACATGACGGTCGAACTCAACAATGTCCATGATTTTTATCGACATTTTCGACAATTGGTCTTCCGCCATTTTACATCAAAATTACTGGAATGAAACCGAAATTGTGCATGATTGACTGTAACAGTAGCAGGATCATAGACGCTATTCACAATTTCAGCCACCTGGCTTGAGTTTTCGGTCTTGCCATCTAAATACTGAAAAAGATAGCGTAGTTTCTCTTTGCTAGTGTCCATCTTTGAGGCACGCTAAAACAAAACTGAATTAATCAATCACAAAACTTTTATTATATCTTTTTTAGTACGTAATTTCATCTTTCTAATGCCATCCCATCGGATTTATACAACGCGAGTTACAGATAAATAACACCATATATTGGAAAAATAATGGATTTCTTTTTACTACATCTAATATATTAATATTTTTTATTAAATCAAGTTTAAGTATTTTCACAACTTCACAACTACTTAGTTTCTCTACAGGGTAGCTATAATGCCCACGTGTACCTCTGTTGTCAGCTGTCGGTGAAAGGTGTTAAGTGAGCAATAAGAGCAATTGAGTTATTTGTTGTAGTGGTGCACAATTGACCACTTTCTTGTTGTGCTTGCTTTTGCTATTGTTGCGGTTGTTGTTGTTGTTGCTGCTTTCATTCATTCTGCTCGTGTAAGAGGTTGTTAACATGCTGTGCAAGTATATGGCAAAATTTAATGATTCACCGCAGCGACACAATGGAATTGACAACGAGCGATTCGCTCATAAAATCACACATTTGAAATGTCCTCCGACCCTCGTACTCAGTGTGGTTCGGCAAATGCTAATGCATCGTAAAAATGTTAATGTTTTTGTTAATGGCGCTATCTTGTGGTTGGTCTTATGAATGTGTGAATGTGTGAATGTGTACGTCTGGTGACTGTGTGATTGTTCTTAATGTGTAATTTGAGCTTTGATTTGGAGCCCACTCATTCGTGGAATTGATTTAGTATAATTTTCTCTTACTGCTTGTATGCATGTAAGTCCATTTGAAAGTATATTTGTAAAAGCGTACATACAATAGAAGTATAATTTCTAGACATTCACTCAATTTATTGTGTTAAAATTCGGTAGCCATTTGAACTTTTAGGTACCTGTTATTCGGTCATTATGTCGATATAGACCTAAAGCTTGTAATATGTAAAGGATGATTTTTTAAGAGCTTTAGGAAAATTTTTCAAAAAACAAAAAAACACATAAAATTCAGAAAAATTCATGAAATTTTTATTTGAATCGATTGTCGCTCCATATAATTTCATGTTTGAAGATTATTTCATACAAACAGTCAATGTCAAACTGCGCGGACAATTTGAGTCCATCCGCTTAGTTCGATTTCGGCATAGTCTTTCCAACATTTCGGCCGGTATGCCACGAATAAATGCTTTTATGTTGTCCTCCTAGGTGGCCGAACGTGAAATAATATGTTCATCGAACTCGCCTCCCAATAAGGCCATTTTTAGGCATGCCGTTTGTCATGTGGCATCGTCTAGTGGAAACCACATATCATGAAAGTCAAGCTCTTGCATTTCGGCCAAAAAAAAGTTTGATATCATCTCACGGTAGTGCTCACCACTCGCAGTTACATTACGATTCGCATCATCTTTGAAGATGTACGGTCCAATGTTTCCACCTTCCCATAAACCGCACTAAACTGTGACTTTTTCTGGATGCCTTGGTAGCTCTTGCAATACTTCTGGCTGATCTTCACTCCAAAAGCGACAATTCTGCTTATTTACGCATCCATTAAGCCAAGAATTAGAACTTTTTTTTTTTAAAATTCAATAAACTGCAAGCGATGTTCGTTTGTAAGACGATTCATGGTTAAATTATAGACCAAATTGAAGATGTTTGACAGTGATATGAAACACGAAACGTGCGTCAGTTGTTTAAACCAAGATACTAGCTAAAAAATCACCCCTTACAACCATTTAAAGGAGGAAGATGATTTTTAAACTAAAATTTATTATAATTAATTTATTGGAATAATTTTTTTTTTTACTTTCACTGGTTTGTTTAAGTATGTATCGAAACCGAGCCTTATTCGGTGTCAAGGGAAAGGACCAGGATGCTCGTGAACCACATAAACCGCTCACGAATCGTACACATCTTGAAATCTCGTACACAATTAGCACAGAATTTCTTATTTGTCGTATATTGTTTATGTCAAAAGTTTCTTTTGGGCAGTAAGCGACGGCTTCATTAAGTAAACTGCTGACTTAAGTAACATTTTATTATCTTGCCGCCAAGTGGGTCCGTAAGCCGCTCAATTATCTTGGAATAAGCGTTTCCAATATCTCATATGTGACCTTTTCTAACATTTTCTGTGAATGACTAAAACATAATCAGCCCATATGAATTAGAAATGCAATTCAATACCAAGCGAGGTTTCTATCGTGCGGCTTCCTTGATTTAAAGCATAAAACTTAAATTGATCTGCAGAATTAAATAGACATAAACTAACCTTTGCTACTAATACTGAAGTTATCGTTCGCTTCCTTAATTTTTTTTTCAGATTGGCCAAACGAATACGTCAAATGGTCATAGAATCGTTGTAATGGGATCCACGTTTCGAGACTACTGAGTTGTTTTTATCGCAAAATTTTCTTAAAAATCTCGACTTTGAGTATACTATATGAAATTATGCTTACGTATTGCATTGCTGATAGTTTAGGTGGGGAAAAACTTTACAATTTTTGACAGATGGCATTTTAGGTAAAAAGTAAAAAGTTATCCACTATCAACATCTTATATAACCCGAAAATGTTTTAAATATATTTTGTAGTGAAATTGATATATTGCAGACAAAAAAGAATCTTAATTATTATATTTTTCACTACTTTCTTATGTGGGAAGAATACATTTCAGTCTCGACCAAAACGACTGCCAGAAGTACCAATAGGATATTTTAGTCCCAGGACTCTAAATTCTATACATGCAGTCAATTCTAATCTGCAGGCATCGATACATAAAAGTAGTCTCCCTCATCGCAATGCAGTAAATTTAAATGAAATGATAGTTAATATATTTCCTCTCGACATTCAAAATTCAAACTTTTCAAAGAGCTCAACAATCTCAACATGTTACAAGGTTTTGAGAACGGCAACATGACATGAGCCGAGCAAAATAAGAGACAGCGGCTATGCTGGAGTGTACGAAAACTCTTCGGCTTCGAAAATATTCAGTTCGGTATCCACTAGTTGATTAGAAGGAAAGACAAGACCGTCATATGTTGGTATGGGCAAGAAGAATCTGACTGCACTTGGTGTCTCCTGCTCAGAGAAGAAAAGGCTGTTTTTACTAGCTAGGCAATAATGGTTTAAGCAGCGCATACGTCGGTTAAAGAGAAGGAGGCAGTAGTTGTCTTCGTAAACTTAAATACTGCCAAAACTAATGGTTAAACGAACGCCATCAAAGCCAGTAATCTTGTTTGATACTGCTAATGGAAATGTGACCGAAATCCAAAAGATTTCAGATGGAAAAGTTCGAGTCGAATTTCGCTCCTGAGTTCAATGAATAATTCTTCCGTCTACCTTTGCCGTATTTTTTAGTGACTTCATCAGCAATTCCCCAAGCTTTATATAGCCTAACATAATTACTTAACTCAATTGAGTTTCATTCGTAGTGAAATACAATATTAATAATACGCGAAAAATATTTTTCATATTTTTAGATGACAGCTTTCGTAGCAGCAATGATGATTATCCCGACACGTCCAACTTAATGGACATAACACACACGCACCCGACGCATCAGCAGTCACAAATTCAGCAACACGCACAGCACATGCCGAATCATCACGCTGCGCACTTTCAGCTGCATCATAATCAACAACAGCAAAACCAGCCGGGCGGAGGTGCATCCACAAACCAACAACACTCGCGCAAACCACGACGTAATCGCACCACATTCACCTCTAGCCAATTGACGGCATTGGAGAAAGTCTTCGAACGTACTCACTATCCGGATGCATTTGTGCGCGAGGAGTTGGCCACCAAGGTGGGTCTGAGCGAGGCACGTGTACAGGTGGGTGTTTGCGTTAAGTAAAAAATCGCGCAAATGAAATTTTAATATCTCAGCATGCACCACTTTCCATTTTCGTTCACAATCTCCATTTTTGCTTATCCGTATTTCTCTTACAGGTCTGGTTTCAAAATAGACGAGCAAAATTTCGTCGCAATGAACGCAGTTCTACCAGTGGACGCTCCATATTGGCGAGTACACCACAGCCAGTGCCGCCCATCACAGTTACGCACAAATTCGATAAAGCCATCGCCGCTGCTGCTGCTGGTGGTGGTGGTGGTGGTGCAGGTGCAGGTGGATTTTTTCATCAGCAAATGGATCATGCAGCCGCAGCAGCAGCCGCATACACATTGAACTTTCCCACATTGGGCATGTATTCATCTGCAGCGGTGGCTGCCGCAGCGGCAAAAAATTATGCAAATTCCTATAATGCATTTGGTGCTGGCACAGCGGTTGGCGCTGGTGCGGATAGCCTTACTGCTGGTGTAGGTGGCAGTGGTGCTGTTGGGGTAGGTATTGGAGGAGGCTGTGGCTTCTTTGGTTCTTCGAATTATTGCACGCCGGCGACTGGTTATCAACACAGTTATGCACCGCTGCGGTATAAAGGAGCGCAGGGATTTTCCGCGCTGTGAAGAAGGAGACGAAGAGGATGGTGCAGTTAAATTAATAACAAGTACAATTTAGTTAAATTTTCAATAATTTTCCTAAGTGGATTTCTTCAATAAAATATTTATTTAATAAAAATCGATTATTTGGTTTGCAAATTATCGTGGAAAATCGAAAAAATGGTGGAGCGTTTTACACAAAATCACACGCTCATTTATTGTGAAAAGTCTGCAGGGACTTTTAATGACGACAACTTTTACGCTTTTACTTATGGCCTCATTGGCATTCACTTTACGAATACATTCAAATGAAAATCGAAATAGTTTGCTTTAGTACGCTGATGAACATTTCACCCACAGTATGTTGGTAATATATTAGGACCAATTTATGAAAAATTGAAAAATTGAAAAAAATTTTTGAACTGAAAAGTTATGAAGTCAAAGCTTTCAACAAGCGCTGAGCCGGGGTATCTGCATATGGAATGAAAACAATTTTTGAGATACGTACATATGAATTTTAACGATGTTCCACTAGCATAGAAAATCAACGGAACTCGTACTAACGAATCTGATTTCAACCATTGAGAAACTTTCATATTTCGTTCTTTCTTCGGCATAAAAGAAGTTGTCAGTAACTCACTGCGACATGCCGTATGATCTGCATTAGATAATTTAGAGATTTGAATACTTGATTGGTGGACTTTGTTTTTCACCGATTTCATTTTGGAACAGTGACAGCTATCGTTCGCGGATCTCGGTTATCCAGATTTGTCAATAGAGGCGCATAAACTTAAAAGAACAGCGTTCCCAAATGGAGATCTCTTAAGTCTGGGAACTAAGGCGAGTTTTTTGAAATCATACTGTGTCTGTATAACTGTGGTGGAAAAAAATACTTAATCTATTTTTGCAAAAGAGTTCTAGTCAAAAAATGCAGCCTAATACCGCTGACCATCAATAAAGAAGAAAACAATTTAAAGGACAGCGTTGATATCTTCTTTTACCAAACTGTCTATTGAATTAGCAACATTTCAGAAAGCATAACTGTCGCCTCTTTATCTTGGGGAACAGAACTTTTGCTATTACCCCATCTTAAACAAGTTTGATAGTTTAACAAGGAGATTTAAGATTTCACCGATAGTTCAAAACTTGAGGGTAACGTAAGTTAGAGGGGTTTTCTTCGATGATCATTCATTGGAGCTCTAATTTAAACTGCAATAACATTACAATGTTTTCCAGGCCATAATATTCGCTACAATGGAGTATATGAAATATATTAAATAGTAAAAAACGCCGTAAGAAACATTTTCATTTTCAATGATAACACGACAACAATAAATGCTGTATTACGAACAACTGTAGAATAGAAATGTACTGTGGCAGATCTCTTCAAGCGATGACTGCTAGTCTATTATTGTCACAGGGCTACAGAAGGGAATTACTGCATAACTTACTGTATAAGGTGCGACGAACCATATTTTCCCAGATGAAGAACTCCAATCCATTATGTAAAGAAACCAAGAGGGATTAAGAGGCCTAGGCCTATAGATCCACTTCTGAAAACAATCTTAAGCTTAACCACATTAATTATCTCGTCGTTGCTATTAAAGACCTTTGCTTTTAGGTTTTTTTTTTAATTTTTAGAAACAACCAACGTATTTCTTCGATCCCAAAGGTCGAAACAAAACTATTCTTTATTTCAGCAAGTTTGTTGCTGTCGGTATCCATAACATGGACTGATGTTTAGTTTCTGGGTCTTCGTCAATTTTGGGCATTACCAAAGCTACAGTGACGTCATCAGTAGAAGATTTTGGTCGACCCTCTCGGAGTTAGTCTTCTACGTAAAAATTGTCCGGTCGGAAATCTTCGAAACCACATAGAAATAGTCTCTACAGATGGTGTGATCGTTCCATATGCAATTTGGCATTCACTTATTATTTGTATTGGCTGTAAATTACGCCGGAACCCAAGGAGAATCATAAGGCAAATTTCTGTGAGCTATCTTGCGTTTTCTCGTCTCCATTTCAGCCGATCGTTCTAAAATTGGAAAAGAAGACTAATAAAGTAATTGCAAAGGATTGGGTATTTTTAGATTTAACAACAGCTGACCGAACTTTTGTTAGTCCCCTAGTATGTGATCAGATCACGCGTTGTTGTAGTATGAATCATATTTTGCTGCATATAGATATTATATCTAATTGGTATAGTATAAGGGAAGAATAGATAAGCAATGATAAACTGCCTAATAAAACTCCAAAAAGTTAGGTATCTGGTACCCTCCTGAAAAAAAAAACAATTTCGGATTTTTGTGCTAATTTTACAATAATTTATAATTTTTTATTCAATATTCAAAATTGTCAGTCTTCAAACGGAAAATTACAAATTAATGATAAATAACCGCCTTGCAGCTGCTATTTGACTCCTTAAATTATTTATTGTAGCCACTCGTTAGGGCTAAATGCTGCGCCACGCAACCAGAGACGATTCATGACATAGAGGGTAACGCCATTGAGCGTCCACTTCTTTAATGAGTACGATCTTAAGCTGTTACTAAGTTTATCTATATGTTATCCTGTTAGCACTTTAAGATATCAATTTTTTAAACTCTCGACATGATCTCACCAGCGTAGTCACTGTCTTTTGATTCGCTGCACCATGTCATCACCGCTGTATATCTCGTACCCCTCAGCGCACCATCGTCTATGAGACTCGACGTTGCCAACTCGCATAGCACCATAAATCTTACGCAAACCTTTCTCTCGAAAACTTTTAACGCCGATACTGTTATTATCCATACTTTTGCAACATATAGCAAAACGGGAATGATGAGTGACTTGTAGAGTTTGGTATTCTTCATCGAGAGAGGACGTTATTTTTCAGTCCAAAGTAACACCTGTTGGCAAGAGTGATTCTCCGTTGGATATCAAAGCTCATATTGTTGGTTTTAATACTGTTTCCAAGATGTAAGCAATTATCTATGCCTCCAAAGTTATGCCTGTCAAAGTGACTGGGAGCTGAGGTGTGAATGTGATGACTGTTTTTTGATGACAAGAGATACTTCTTGCTGTCCTCGTTCACAGCCAGAACCTTTTGTTTCGCTACTTTATCACATCTGGAATAAGCGGAACTATCGGTCTATTACATCATAGTTTTACACTCTCTTAAATTATCGTACTTTACCTACATATTTAGTTCTATAGCTATTTTGACTGCCCTTCTGATGCTGTTCGTAGTCAGTTCACAACCGTATAAGCTTCGCGGTGACACTAAAACCAGCCATAGGGACATTCAGTATCCCAAATTCATAAAAAATATGATCTTTTTTCACTTTTAGTTACAATCGGAGTAAAATGAAATTTTAAGTAAATTACTTACTCCAAGCCCTCCATCCAATCACAAAGAATCAGCGTAAATCGTCTCTATTGTTGTTGAGAGCACAGTGGCTAAATCAAACAGAGTACTAAATTTAAAGTAAATATTTTAAATTAATAAGATATAACTAACCCCAACTAAGAGGGATTTACTTGAAACAGTTCGAGTGAGGTGAGTTTAGGCATTCATTTCTGTCTGCCTTTAAGCAGGTAGAAGTATGAGAAATCAATTAAAATACTAAATGGACTGAGCTTTGATAAAAAATTAAGGAAAAAATCTGTCAAACTTCAGTTCTTATATTCCATTTGTCTAAAAAAAAATTTCTTTAAAGTATTTTAAATTTTTAAAGAAGAAATTGCAGACATGGTTCCCGAGTATGAAAAAGACACAGGATTTTGCTTTGCCATAAAAATCTTAAAGGGAATTATCATGACGCTGTGGAGGAAATAAATCAAAAATAAAATTCAACTTACAGACTGATACTTACTGAAAGTTGAATTGAGAGCGGTCTGAAAAGTGTACTGAACGAAAAGTAAAGTGAAAAAAGTATTATTGGATTTTCTACTTTCTCCACCTTGAGAGTGCCTTTAAATTTAACTCAGATCGCAAATGACTTAAATAAACCATATCCGTTGAGCTTGTACTTCGATAGATGACTCACAAATCTTCCTTGTAAAATTATCACCTATAATTAATCTCAGTAATTGAGATTTGCCACAGTAGTTTTTTTTTTTTACCCACATAATTCACATAATTCCAACTTTAAAATTAGAAGTAAAACTACATTTACTGAATTAGTGTATGTAAGTTAAGTCAAAGTCGACTGTGGCTGTCTTTCAATTTTGAGCTGAGTTTGCAACGAAAACCCATTAAAACTGACCCACCTACTTCTACGCAGGATTATTATGAACAGCGAGAGTTGCTGCTTTTGATTGTCCTTGGAAAAGTTTTTGTCACACAAAATTGTGTAGCTGAAAATCTCCAACCTCCATGCACTCGAAACTCATTAATTTTGCGGTTATTTGACGCACATTTAAAACACACACAAACAAGCGCAAGCACACGCCCACATACCAATAAATAGATATACACATACAAACAGAAACAGTCACTGCACTGCAGTGTACGTGCTTCGTATGACTTTGACAATGCAGTTGAGTAAAGAACATACATACCTACATACATACATATATACTTTTTTGCCATAAGTTGCACACGCACACCAACCCTTGTATATTACAGGAAGTGTGCATTTGCTTTGCACTTGCAATACATTGACAGGTGAGACACCACAGGAAATGGAAACTTTAGCAAGCAGAGTTTTTTTTCCTCTTCTTCTTCTTCCTCCTAATATTATATGCGTATATTGTGCGTGCACTTGTGCAGAAAAGAAACGCACACGCTGACCTTTTGGTATTGTGGCAAAGTAAAAGTTGCTTAACTTCATTGAGTTGTCGTTAGTGTAGTGTTTATCAAGACCGCAGAAAAGCACTCAAACTATTGCTATGTGCAGCTATTCCTAGATTTCTATGAATTATATGTATTGAAAATTTAAGTAAAAGCAAAGGCAGGAGCCAATCTAAGTACGCCGTGATAGCGCCATGGGCAGCGTTGTGTGCCCAATCTCAGGCTAGATCAAGATCTACTGAAATTTTAACAAAATTTATAGAAA